GCGACCTACTTACCACTGGCTATCGTGCAGGTCACGGGTTCAACTCCAGGGAACTGTGCAGATACTGTACACAGGTAAGCTGAGGTCAAGGGATCGACCCCTGGGATCTGCATCGGCTACTGCCAAAGGTGAAAACTGTTTCATATGGATCAGATTAAAGAGATCCGTAGGACACTATTGGAATTTCAGGAGGCGGTTAAGAAGCAGCTGAATGATATGGGGAGAAAAATAAAAGCCAAGTCCCTCGCAGAATTCTAAAAGGATTTGAGGAAGGAGGTGAGAAGCATCAAGAAGAAGGTGAAAACTGGGTGCCGTGGAGATGGAGATGGAGATGGAGACAGTAATGGTGATGGCAATGGCGATGGACAAGAAACCCCAGCCAAGGGATGATGGAGAACGAATGCATGATGGGATGCTGTGCAGTGACTGGGTGAAGCTGAAGTAACGTGACGCATATCGTGGTGAGGAGGATCTCACGACATCAATCGTAGAGATCCGTACACACATGATCGTAGAGTGCTTTGCCCCAGATGGCCGAATCGTAGTTGCATGTGTATGTGTGAAAAGGGGACGCAAAGACGTGGGAGCCTTTAGCTCATCGAGTTATGAGTGTCTTTGAAAAGAAGGGCCGAAGGCTTCATGAGTCAGGTGCAGGGGAAGGGGAATGCCAGCAAGATTGACGAGTACGGGGAAAGTACCAGCCTGGACAATTTCTTAGAAACCTTGATGGACCGGCTCTTAGACAAGGACAGGGCGATTAGAGCTTCCCAACAGTCCATAAGAATCCATACGGTAAGGTGGCACAGTGCAGAGAATCTGATATGCCGGATGGATGGACTTTTACATACCCATTTGAACCATTCTACCGGCTTCATTGGCCAGGTCCGTTGTCCAATCTTGCTTTCACATGCCCCAACCTCTATAGCATTCTTCTACTCTCTCGGCCAGGCCTGGCACTAAATCCCCCATCTGACAAGTACTCAAGCCAGCACACAAGACGGAAAACCAAGCACATGACGTAAGAACTCAGATTCGGTAAGCCAACTTTAGCCCTCTGCTTCTACCGGCCAAGGCTCTCCCTCATGCGGTGAACAAGAGTATGTACGAACAGGCCAGGCGGCTAGCCAACCAAAAACAAGAACTCTCCCGCACACTTCACTCTCACTCGCAAGTCGGACTCTCCCTCTCGGAATGTCTTCTCTCATGCTACCCTATGCAAAGCCATGGCGCTCAGCGCCTGGACGACTAGGTGAGTCTCAGCCTCTCTCCGGCACGCATAATGGCAGGTTGCACCACCGAGCCACAGCGCTTCCACGTGCAAGTTCACGGCTACTGAATGTGTACGTCAACTGCCGCTGCTTCCTTTTGTATTCGATGCTTCGACTTCTAGACTTGGACTGCAGGTGCGGTGACTCCCTTGCCTCTGCCTCCAGATGTTTCCGGAATGTTTACTGATAGTTTGGACCCTGGCCGGGGACTGACAAAACCGGACTGGACTGGACTGTTCTGACTGAGACTGGATGAACCTCAAGGGGAGTTGGCATCCTACTCTGCTGGACTCCTCTCGGCCTACCTACTGTCAGGACTGGGACTAGTGGTACTCGAGACCTTGGAACTAGTACCAGGGTGGGACAGTGGAACAATGGGACTCTGGGATAGGGAATGGGACCAGACTCTGAAAACTATGAAATCCTTTCAACTTTTTTTGTGTTTAGATCTTTTCAATTTGTAATTTTGTATCCACCACAGTCTGAATGTTGGGTTGGCCTGTATGCTGTCTAGATATCTGCGCAGTCAGGCTACATCCGGGCAAGAGTTCAGATCCCTGTCCGGTGCACAGGTCTGGCATTACCAAACTTGGTTTTGCAAGATTTTCATCATTTACTTGAACTGCCTGATCTGATAGTCTGGATAATGCCCGACCTGGCCACGGGTCAGGAAAGGGAGGAAAGGGTTGATATGGGACGCTGGACCCGGTTTCCAGCACAGCGATTACGTCCGGATGATTGCATGTTCAAAGATGTACAATTCAAATGGGATGCTGGCACCGGTTCCCAGCATGTGCTGCTCCCCACGAATAGATCGGAGCATCCCAAATAAAAGAAGAAGAAAAAAAAAGAAAAGAAGTCTGGATAATAATGATAAATAATTAATAACAGTAATACTATATGCTATTATTGTTTTCAATTAAAAGTTTCTGCACCAAGCTAGGCTACCAGCCGGGCCGCCCGGGTCACCCTGTTTTCCCGGGCAGCCCAGCCGTGCAAGGACCAGCAGAAGGTCCCAGCAAGAAACGAAAAAAAACAAATCCAAAAAAAAACAAAAAAAAACTATGTTGTGCAGCAAAATAAACTGAACAACGTTTGCCTCAGGGTCACACCGAAATTCTTACCAAATTAAAAAAAAAAAAAAAAAAAAAAAAAAAAAAAAAAAAAAAANAAAAAACTATTTTTTTTGTTCTTTTTGGCCTGGCCGGGAAAGTGGTCCCGGGCCACTCCGGTAGCCTAGGCACCAAGCCATGTGGATTGTAACTGTGGAAAATAATAAAAATTATCCAAAAATTATTCGGAAAATATATACTCGAATCATTCGATGTATTATTCTTAAATGAACTCGATGAGGGTCTGGAGATGTGCTATCCAGACACTGGACACTGAAAAGTCCAAATGGTTACTTGTATGTCAAATCATATCTTTAAAGGGATAGCAAAGTCACCATCATGACCATCATCAGTATAACGGTACTATAACCACATCCACAACCATATTGAAACCCTAAACCAACAACATACCACTAGGAGAGTAGGCAAGGTAATAAGGGATGATATCTGGGCTTCCGGAGAAATCATCTAGTTCCTTTTCCTGCACACATTCATAAATCCAATGATGATATGCAAACGGCTCAGCAAAGTGAACAAACTCATCCAACTGATCAGCAAAACGAACAAACTCGTCCAGTTTTCAATTCTCTCCGCCAGTGCTACCCAAATGCATACACATGCAGCACCCCGCCTCAGAGCATTAGAATTGCACCATAGCAAGTCCACAAACTGCATTCACATAAACCACCCACTACCTTTCTCACTGCTGGGAAAAACGGGAATATACGTCACACCGCATTTTTTGGAGGTCCTGGGGAGGCTCGGCCAAAATATTTTTTTTGGGCCTTGTGGGCCTGAGTGCAACCAAAAAAAAAAAAAAAAAAAAAAAAAAAAAGGTTAAAAAACTGCAGAGTCGAAAGGAAGGACGTGGGGAAGGCTGTGATGGACGTGTGCTCACAGTTCTGCTTCCACCAACGCATCTACCCAGAACCATAGTTAGTTTCGGTTTTTGTTTCGTGTGTTTTTTTTTTCCCCTTTTTTTTGGTTATACCGTTGTAGTGCCCTGCCAATGAGGCAAGGCACATTCCGCGGACAGCTGACACTATGCAACGGATGCCACACTCTCAGACGTACCGTAGATTCTGTTTCCAGCTGGTTTCACGTCCAAAGAGTTTTTTTTTTTTGTGTGTGTGTGTTCTTTTTTTTTCGTATTGCCGTGATTACAGCAGGGCTGTAATGGCCGTTGGCAGGGCACACTCTCACGGAAAGGACAGATTCTGTATCCAGCCGCTTTTTTTTTCTTTTTCTTTTTTTAATATCCAGCCGTTTTCACGTCCAAAGAGTTTACATGTTTTTTTTTTTTTTTTGTGTGTGTATTCTTCTTTTTTTTGGGTACTGCCTTTGATTACATTGGGGCTGTAACGCTCCCAGCTGAGGGCATACTCTCACATGTAACTCAGATTCTGCGTCCAGCTGACTTCAAGTCCGGCTATGTTTTTCTTTTTGTCCCCCATTGTTTTTCTTTTCTTTTTTTTTATTTGTGAAAAGTACCACAAAAGAAAATACAACGGGACCCAGGCTCGGCAAAATTCCGTGTGCAGTGACATTCAGGGTCGGCAGAAACAGGCTCGGAGGTAGTGGCGGTATAAGAAAAAATGTGTTACGTCGTAGGCTACTGGCCATGCGCCATGTGAGTTGCCCGTATACCCACCCAGACCGGCCTCGGCAGGCAAGAGCAAACCCAGTGGAAGATGTGGAAAAGCTGTGAAAAACTGCAAAAAAAGTACGCCGTGCAAAATTCGAATGTCACATCCAATTAAAAAAAAGGGGGTTATTGCAGAAATAAGTTCAAATAACGCATTTTCGAAGTTTCGCAGCAGCAGAAATGCCGTACGGGTCCGTCCGAAAGATCTTTTTTTTTTTCTTTTTTTTTTTTTTTGGTCCTTCGGGACATCCGTTAAAATTGGAACGATACAGAGAAGATTAGCATGGCCCCTGCGCAAGGATGACACGCATTTAAAATTTAAAAAAAAAAAAAAAAAAAAAAAAAAAAAAAAAAAAAAATCTATCTTTGCAAGGAAAGTGGGACCCCGCCTGCAAGTATTTTTGCTGTGAAACTACCAGGACCTCTAAAGCTGCCACGAAAGATATATTTTTTGCAACGAAACTTGGGCCCCGCCAATAGTTTTGCCGTGGAACTGCCGCGACATGCTTTTTTGAAACTTACCCTTTCAAAAACTAAAGGGGAGTTAAAGTACCAGTATGGCGGACCCTAGATTGCCAAACCAGAACTTTTTGCACCTGCACAAATCAAACTGGTCCCCTCCAAGCTGGTACAACAAAAGTGCACCCTCGTAGTCTACCGGCAAAAGTTGCGGTCAACACGCCCCTTGTGACCTCTATAAACCAGTTCCAGCGACCCCCAACTGCCAGTGGGGTGACCCAACACTGAATTTGAAGGTAAGGTTGGATTTTGACTGTCGAGGCCGAGTCCGGACCTGGTGAGCAGTCATATTCCTTTTAGTTTAGTTATTCCCCTGCCTGTGAACCACCCAGTTACCCGGGTGAAACTGAGTTTGCCTGTCTGTCCCGGGTGTATATAGGTTGCATCCAGTATTCCCCTGCTGGGCCCACCCACCAAGGTAGTATATAGGTTGCATCCATATGCTTTTTCAAGAAAATACATGACTTGTACATAGTCACACACCCTTCCTACCAGCCTATGCAAGCATCCTTACCTTTTCCCAGTTCCATATGACTTTTACTCACCTGCCCGCCCCGGGTGTGCCCTGCTGGGCCCACCCACCCGGATAGTATAGGTTGCATCCATATGCTTTTCAAGATAAGTAAGACATGATTTGTACATAATCACATACTCTTCCTACCACCTTATGCAAGCATCCTCACCTTTTCCCAGTTTCGTATTACTTTTACAGTTTTACTCAATACAAGAAGGGCCAGCAGAGCTCCAGTCAGAGAATCCGCTTCGTGTGATGTGGCCTTCTTTTCTCTTCAAAATCAGGTCAGCTGTGAGGGCCCCGGCCTCAAATTTGGAAGGAATATATAAGTTGACAAGTTTTGGGGGGAAAAAAAGGAAAAAAAGACGGTCTGAAGGGAAGGTGGGCCCAGTGCGCTCGCCAGGTAGTTAGCCCGGGGACCCAAAGTCGGGGTCCAGTCCAGACTACAGACCCTACCGGACCCGGTAGGGATTGGGGCCAGTAGGCTGTCCCTACCCGTTGGGGTCCTGGCCAGACAGAAGAAAAGCAAGGCCGGGGAAAACATTGGCAAGTGGGCAGTGGGATGTGGCAGTGCTGGTAGAGCGCACAGCAAGCAGCCATGCGCAAGGAAGAGGGCAGCAAGGCGGCCAGCTGCAAGTGAGCGCAGCCTTCATGCACAGAGAAAGGGTGGCGCAGAGTTGGGGTTGGTCAGGAAGGAGAGTGGCAGTGGGGACAGGAGGATGCTTAATGTTGTGTTGGCTGAGGAATGCCTCATGTGTTTCACTGGCATCTGGTGAGACGAGAATGGAATATGGAGCTAGAGGTAGTAGGCTAGCGTGTGTAGGCGGGTAGGGAAGTAGGACTTTCAACGTAACATTCCGTTGACGGGTAAGATTGAAAGAATCGAATATGATCCAAATAGTTCCTCTTGGATTGCCCTAGTACGCTGGTACTCTGGGTCTACCCAACCCCAACATCAAACAGCATCTACAAGATTTGCTTATGTATTAGCTTGTGATAAATTAAAAACAGGTGGCCCAGTCATGAATAATGTGCATAGCTTTGGGAACCTGGAGCAAGCTCCGGGAAACTGTGTACAGTTAGCATATATACCAGTGGGTACTTTGTGGTCTGCCTTGAAAAAGGTAGGCAGACACATCATAAATAGGGCTACTACTCTGCTGTTGTATTGATTATTGGAGGCGCAAAGGGGGCTTTCATTGTCAAGAGACTTCAGTGTTCATCGTGTACTTGTGCTCTTGGCTTTGTCATTCTGCTTTCAACTCGGCTTACTAACGTAACTCATGTTTGATCTTCAATGAGCTCATGCGTCTCGTAATTTTTGTTTTTGTTCTCACTTGCTGGTTTACTTGCATTCTGGTATCAGAGCGGGGCGGGTTCTTTGACTATCGCCAACTAAATGCGAAATAGGACTCATGGTGCCAGGTCCCTAAACCACATAAACGTAGCCACTCTTGCACTCTTCTTAATCATGCGTTTGGGTTTGGTGATCGTACAAAACACACACAAATGCGGACACGTCAAACATAATCAACTCGACTAAGAGCAATCCGGTATGAGGATTGCTGGGAGCATTACCCACTTTCGATTACGGCGAGCGACCCTGCGACCGCCTACCGTCTTCACCCGAATAGAACGCCCGGTAATTATCGCCGTATCTGGGCTGAAAGTTGTGCCAAATACAGCTATAATGACCGTCGAGCGTTCTATTCGGGTGAAGACGGTAGCCTTAGGGACACAAGGGGCCTTGGCAGTAATCAGACATAGCCAATATATACTTCTTTTTTTTTTTTTTTTTTTTTTTTTTTTTTAAAAAATTTAGGTTTTTTTTTTTTTTTTTTAATAATTATTTTTTTTTTAATTTTATTTTTTTTTTTTTTAATTTATTTTTTTTTGTTTTTTTTTTTTTTTTTTTTTTTTTTAAGAAAAAAGGGCCCAGTGCCAAAGGCTGATATTCCAAAGGATAAGGATGAGGCCGGGGTCCTCACAGTCTACCCGGATGTGTAACATGTCTGGGAGCCTTGCCTCCCTAACCCGAGAGGATGGAACCGATGTGGTTCCTGAGTAGCTTGGCGCTCTTTCCAACCACCTCTGTCAGACCTGGCTGCGGCTCAATCAGAGCCTTACTATTATTTGAATGAATAAAAAAAATATAAATACAAATACAGTCTGGGATACCAGCCGGGCCGCCCGGGTCCCGGGTGGCCAGCCTGTGCAAGGACCAGGGAAGGTCCCAGCAAAAAAAAANAAAAAAAAAAAAAAAAAAAAAAAAAAAAAATCCAAAAACTTAAAAACTCCGAAATAAACTGAACAACTTTTGCCTCAGGGTCACATCCAAATTCTTCACCAAATTTAGAATAAATAATATTATATATTTTATTATTTTTTATTTTTTTGGCCTGGCCGGGCAAGTGACCCCGGGCCACTCTGGTAGCCTAGAATAAAGTTTAATAATTTATAATAAACAGATTTTCATAAACAAATAATATATAAGTAAAATGAAACGACGTGATGATGTCATAAGAGTGACAAAACCATCAAACCTTGAGCAGAGGGTTGTACGGCTCTTTGTTGGGTGACTCCACCAAGAGCTTCCTGGAAATGGGATAACTTAACAATACTTCATACTCTGAAATGTGTGTCTGAAGGCCATAGCTCTTCATAGTCTTTTCCACAAGATGAGCTCTGCACCCAACTCCCCCCCCCACAAATGCCAAAATCATTGAAAAGGAAAATGTCAAAATGACAATTACTATCAAATATTTGATTGAGAAAGGAAAGCATCCTCAAACACCAGCTTCATATCCAGAAGTTCAAAGTGAGGGTAGAGGTGCCAGAAATTACCGAGTGTATTCAACAGCAGGTGCATTTCGAACTCACACAAAGATGGTGGGCCACTAAAACACAACTAGACTCCTTTAAACAAGAAGGAGACGTCAGGAGAAGGATTACATCATTTTGTACAGACTGGGTGGGAGGGGAGAGAGAAGGATGGATTGCAAAAGTAGAATGGAGTGGAGATGGGGAGGAGGGACCGAGGGATCTGGAAGAAATGAGAGACTACAGCTTAAGTTTTAAAGACTGGACGAACATAGAACCCTCGTTCCCACTCCGCCCCCCTGCTGATTTCCCTGACCCCTTCCCGCCCCATGCCCTCTCCCTGGCTGAGATCCTGTCCTGATTGTTACATCCCAGTAACTCATTCTACTTACTTCTACTTACTTCCACTGCTTCCACTTACTTTTCCTTTCATATAAGGAACTCTCCACTGGAGCCCCCCAGGGAGTGTTTCTTCCAACAAAACAGTGTTGTTACTCCCTGAAGTGGTATCAGAGCTTATTGGGACATCTGGCGCCCCCTCTAGGGGTGAAGAGATATGGGAAATAAAGTCTGCTTTGAAAATCCCCTGGAGACAGGGCATTCAATGCTGGCAGGTCTAAAATGCAGGAAGTCAATAGGCAGCAGTAGTCACCAGGTGCCGAGATCAGGGTGAAGAGGCCCCCCTCCCTGCTCAGTCAATCCCCTGGTCTCCAGGGCAATCAATGCTGGCAGGCTCTTCCTACAGTTCTTTTTTCTGATGTGTCCTGATGTATTCCAATTGTATCATTCTCATCAGGGACGCTGGACCCGTTTTCCAGCAGGTGATGCTCCCCACCAATAGATGGAGCCTATCCCCGGGTGCTAGCAATGTCTGTTCTAATCAGCATCGCTAGCACTGGAGGGATCTGTTTGAAAAAAATAAAACAAAAATAATAAATAAATAAATAAATAAATACTAAGAACTTGAAGCATTATTATTAAACTAGTCCATGATTTCCGAGTCCTATCATCAATACACTTAGTATTTCTGTTGTTTCTCATGTTCAGCACAATCCAAGAAAATTCAATGTTCACTGTTCAGTAAGTCTACTGTTCTTCACCATGATTCAACAAAATCCACTCACATCAAATTCCTTAAAAAAAAAAAAAAACGGCGCCAGCCTTGAGATATTATCATTGACCTGACCGGCCCCAAACAATTCATTCGTAATTGGTTTGTATTCATCAAGTTCCATCATGTCATGTGGATTCGAACACAGGTCTGTATTTCAACAGTTCATGGGTGTACCCACTGAGCTAAGGCTCTTGGGTGACATCAAATTCTCAAGTTGTGTGTACCACCCTTGAACACACAGGGGCCATGCTAACCTTCTCTGCATCATTCCAGTTTTATTATTATTTAACAAATGTCCCGAGGGGCAACGCCACCCAATGACGGAGTTTAGCCCTGTTCTCCCTTTCTGCCTATAGTTCACAAGGCAGTTCGCTATGGCAATATATATGGTTAGCAATTATGAGGGTTGTCATCCAGACGTCCGAACCATCTGCTTTTCTTCTTTTTCTTTTTCTTTTTCTTTTTCTTTTTCTTTTTTTTTCTTTTTTCTTTTTTAAGACAAGGATGAGCGGCGGTACAGCCGTCCAAAAGGAAGTAATCAAAGCCGCCCTCTCGGGTCTCCCAGCCATAATGGGGGGGAGCCTGGGAGTGCGTACACATTGATGTATTCTGATGACTTGCCAGTGGAATAGGAACCGGACTGTCGCTCCCCATAATGGACGTGGAGCCAGAGCCATAAGACTCTGTTACTATGAAAAAAAAAAAAAAAAGACATCCCAACCATCTGGATCTTGTTGCCCAGGGCAAATTTATCTTTTTAACAGGTGCTGAGTGAAAGGATCCAAGCTCTCATCAGCGATTCACCTCGCAAGCATGTAATGGACATTCACACGAGAGTGCACAGATGAGAGACCAAGCCGAGATACAAGTAATGCATTAGGAAGTCGTCACCAAATTACCATTATTATACAAACAAGTGGAGACGCCGCAGCAAAGCTGCGGCACAGAAGAGGGGCGCGACGAGAGGCAGGCAGGGAGGGCAGCAAGCAAAGATGCAGATGAAGGCCGCAGGAAAAAAAAAAAAAAAAGGGTAGCGACTCGCGAGGCTATTGGGAGGGAATTTCTAAAATCAAAATTGGAGGAAATTTGGAGAGAGGACCACCAGATCCGGAAAAACAAACATGGAACAAAAAACCGCGCCGGGCCCACGGTGCCCCGGGCCCGCGCGGGAAAAAGGTCTCAGCGGGACGCGTTACGCGAGACCCGCTATTCCCTTTAAGAAGAGTATAGAAGTATGGATATAGATATAGAGAAAGTGTTTATGTCACTGGCGGCTCTGCCGCACACACACACTCCGAAACCGTCCCAACGGGACACCGGCTATGGCTGCTCTCTCTCTCTCTCTCTCTCTCTCTCTCTCTCTCTCTCTCTCTCTCTCTCTCTCTCTCTCTCTCTC